GTCAGATGTTATACTGAAGTTAAACCTAACAAGTGACAAATCAAAAGTGAAGCGACACAGTATACAAAAGTGCAAAAACCTAAAATTAATAGTCTTCCATTGCCAAAATCAACAATGCTGAGCAAGTCCAAGAATAATTTGTCAGATGAGTATGAGAACTGTTTGACAATTTTATGTCATCACTTGCATTATAAAGGATTGGGATCTTGCTGCAATTATATACACTCCTTTCCACACAAACAGAAGGTAGAAATGAAGCTATTAATTAAAAACCAAGCATGATTCATTTAACACAAGAACATATTTTCATTTATAGCAAACGCCATACCAGCTTAAACTCACTGATTAAATCTGGTCTTATAAAAAGAGGAGGGCATTTCAAAAATTAGTAGCGGTCTAGACTTTTCCTTGTTTTTAAAATCAATTTAAAAAGAACAAAAGTAAAATGATAAAAGGAAACCAAACGAAAATTAACACTGCCTTTTATAAGTTTAAAAATACCAAAGATGAGTGGCTTTACTTATTATTTTAACATAAAACCAAAATTCTTAATAGCCTATTTTTTAATTTAAAATATATTTCCATACAGAAATATTATAAATCTGGTGTGTATGTGGGGGTAGGGGAAGGTGCTAGATTTTCTGTCTTAAACTAAACTCAGAGAAAGCAAAGATAAAGTTGTCCACAATCTATCTAATTTTTTTTATTTTTTCAATTAAAATTGAAATGGCTGATTTATCCTGGCCCCATTAATTACTAAAGTCTTTTCTGCATGATGTTTGCTTTCCCATTGTTTAGAATACTACATATGGAGGCTACACAATAAAGAATGCTGATGTCATTTACTTTACTTTCTAATGTCAAAACATAAAACTACAAATATCTACAGGTAGTAATTCTGCTTTTGACATGTATTACTCATGTGCCTGGCACATAAATGTTAGCTGTCATTATTATTACTAACTCAAATGATTAATATTAAATGCTATGATTTCTAAGAGCTATAATACTACTGCTTGAATTCCCAAACACTTCACTTCCCACAAAATAAGAACTGACTAGAAGAGAAGGAAAAAAAATGATGCTCTAACACAGCAATCCCCAACCTTCCTAGCTTCAGGGACCAACCTTGTAGAAGATAATTCTTACATAAACCTAGGGGAGGTGGGGTAGTGTCAGGATGATCCAAGTGTACCACATCCCTATTTCCTCCAATAACACATTGAATATACAATGAAACATACAGTGAAACAATCACACAACAATCGGGTTTGCACTCCCATAAGAATCTAATGCCACCACTGACCCTACAGGAAGTTTAGTCCAGGAAGCAATGCAAGCAATGGGGAGTGGCTGCAAACACTGATGAAGCCTTGCTGGCTAGTTCGCCCAGCATCCATCTGGAGTCTGGAGGTTGGAAGTTCCTGCTCTCACAGAAGCCTCATATTCAATGTAACAAGTATTGGTGACTATTAGTGTTATGGTGTTACTTGTGTCCCTGTCCTAAAATTCATATGTTGAAGCCCTCTTATTCAATTGCATTTGGAGATAGAGCCTTTAAGAAAGTAATTATGATTTAATTAGGTCATAAGGGTGAGGTCTTAATCCCACAAGACTGGTGTCCTTATAAAATTAATAAAAGATGACACCAGGAGTGTAGAAACAAAAAGGAAAGGCCATACAAGGACACAGCAAAAAGGAGGATATCAGCAAGCCAGGAAGAGAGGTCTCATCAGAAGCCAACTCTGCCTCCATAACTGCAAGAAAATTAATTTCAATTATTAAACCACCTAGTCTGTGGTGTTCTGTTATGGCAGTCCAAATAGACTAACACAGATGGTCAATTTTAAAAACTCATTCAAAGCAGGAAAAAAATCAAAGTGCTATATAAATATCTTAAACTTATTTTAACTTAAAAAAATTATATCTTCACTTGCCAATCTTTTGATATAAAGTCAAGACCTACAAAGATCTCCAGTTTTGGCTTATGTCACTGGTCTAACCAGCATTCAATTAGATTACATAATTATAAAAAATGTAACTGGCATAAATAGTTCTGGGAACATCACAAATGACTCTTGGTGAACAACTTAGCTTGTAGGTGCAGAAGTATTCAGATACAGTAGAAATCAAGCAACATATGAGCTGTGTTTTAGAGTAAGACAATTTTTAAGCAACTGAGCTTTAAATTGATGTAAAAATCTTCTACTGTAAATCCAAATAAATGTTGGTCATTTGAAATTTTCACTCTGGAAGGCTGTCACTGTGTAAATCAATTTGGAAATCATCAGTTTGGGATTTCTGAATATTTTGGATGTTTGATGGTAAACCATGATCCTTGAAACAAGATTTAATTTCCCAAATGACTCTATTAAATAATTGGTCTGGTTTATAATGTAGGCAGCAAAGTCAAGTAATATCATTTGAAGAAAAGATATTACCATAAAGCAAAATAACTGTTCAGTATATATTTTTTTCTTTAAAGGTAAATCTAAAAGATAAGTTTTAAGAACATATTAAATAATTATGACATAAATAGAATGAATACAAAGGCACTACCCCAAGGATATCTGTCATTTGAATATAAACTTCTAGTAATTTGATTTTTAAATGACTACCTCGAGTGAGCACACACACACTTTTTTTTTTTTTTTTTAAAGGGAGATTTTTTGCTATAGGGCATGTGCATATACCAGAGAGATAGAAAGCAAGAAATCATCCCTGGGGGGATGGCCATGCCACAATCTCTTCTCCTCCATTCTCCTCTTGGGATTTTGGGCATACGTACACACGTGCCTGGTGTGAGTTTCAAACCATTGGGTCCAGAACTCAAACCAGAGTCAGTTATGTGGGAGTCCAGTGATGTAAGTGTGTGTTGTGGAGATATAGTGATTTTTAAAGTGGATATCGGTATCAATCAGATACTTACTTATGTATATAGTAAACTTTCTAAAGTTCCTGATATTGAAGCCTAATTACTGAGGATAGTTTATATCACACTGAAAATTCTGAACAATATTCAGAAGTAAAAATGAGTCACATTTTTGCATAAAGACATGATATAATGAGTGCAGTGTTCTAAGATGATTCATTTAACAGATAAGAACTAGAGTGTGAAGAATAGAGATATGTTAAGAGATCATCAGTATAAACAAGATGTATGGTAATATGGGTCAAAATTAGAGACAACAAATATTGGATTGTTGGAAAAGTAATGACACGTTTTTGTGTAGAAAAATTCAGAAAAATACATCATGACTTTTCTGACCACCCAACAGAAATACAAAGGTCAAGAATAAGAAAAGAAAAGATATAAAATCACATATGCAAGGCCAGCTAATGGTCAACAGTCTAATGGATAAGGCAGCTGGATCCCACATGGCTGACTGCAGTTCAAATCCCAGTGCCAGCAGCTTATAAAAGCATTCCCGGGAACCAGCAGTTAGCGTAATGGCTATGTCGCTGGACTCCCACGTAGTCGACCGCGGTTCATGTCCCGGACCCGGTGGCTTAAAACTCACGCTGGGCGTGTATGCGTGCGTGCCCAAGATCCCGAGAGGAGAATGGAGGAGAAGGGATTGCGGCGTGACCATCCCCCCTGGGGGGTGATTTCTCGCTTTCTGTCTCTATGTCTCTGTCTGTCTGGCGAGCGCACGCGCCCTACAGTGAAAATCTCTCCCCAAAAAAAAAAAAAAAAGCATTCCCAACAGAATGGGGAAATGGAAGAGAGGTATTGTAACACATGCTCCAAAGGGTGTGTGTGGGTGTGTTTTCTTCATCTCCCTGTCTCTTCCTTTTTCTCTCTGATAGGTGCACACATGCTGTGACAATAAAATATATGTACATACAGTGCCTTTAGCATATACATACATGCCAAAAGCATATACAAACATTAGTTTTCATCACAGTGAAACAACTGGTAAGAGGTGAAGTAGATGAAAATGAAGCAAATGCACAGCAGAGACGGGGGTGACAAAATCTTCAGATAGACCACACCCTGTTCTTCTGCATGCCCTGCAAATCCAATGTAAAGCTTGGGCTCATCTAGGCTTTCAGTGATTTTGGAAGCACTTTGGTTGTCAATTCACAGAACTACAGCCCAGGGAACCAGCAGTTAGCATAATGTGTCGTTGGACTCCCACGTAGTCAACCGCGGTTCATGTCCCGGACCCGGTGGCTTAAAACTCATGCCGGGCGCGTATGCGTGCGTGCCCAAGATCCCAAGAGGAGACTGGAGGAGAAAGGACTGTGGCATGGCCATCCCCTCTGGGGGGTGATTTCTCGCTTTCTGTCTCTATGTCTCTGTCTGTTTGGCGAGCGCATGCGCCCTACAGCAAAAACCTCTCAAAATAAATAAATAAATAAATAAATAAATAAATAAATAAATAAATAAAAATAACTACAGTCCAAAGAGCATTTTGTAGATTTAATTAAGTTCCATTATGAGGCACTATTCATATCAATTCCGATCTGGATATAATATAACAGATGCTTTGTTCTTTCTTCTCAAGCTTAAAAGAACTGCATGTGTGTAGGGGGATAAGAGAGAGAAAGTGATCAAGACAGACAACACATGTTAGGCTCTGGATGGGGAATTGTACTTTCTCCCTTACATAAAGCAACACAATCTCTTCTACAGTCTGCAATCAAGTAGGTTCTACTTCTGTAGGAAAGTAGTAAGTAGGAGATTGCTGGTTAGACAATAGTTGTTTAAGAGTACTCTGTTTTATAAATGAGTTAGTAATAAGGATGCCATATAAAGCTTACTAAGAAGTTAGTAAGCTTCCATTTCTATTCTTCTATCCAACTTCCATATCCTATTCTTCCCTCCAAACCCCAGCCAAACATCACAAATATCTTCAATTTCTGCCTCTTTCTTAATTCCTCAGTCATTTTTTTAAAATAAAAGACTTAATACTAAACTGTTATAGAAAAACTATTAAGAAAAATCTACTTTCGATTTGTCTAAGAAGTATCCTAAATATACTACAGTGATTTACCTCGAATTCCTTCACCTTCTCCATTGTGATCAGGCGCCTTGATGTGTGACTCGAAAGCTTCTGCTCACAGTTGCTAATGAGTTTCAGGCATGGGTGCGAGGGTACCATCTCCTCAGTGTATCTGAAGACAGAATAGCTGTTAGGAAGACTCATGTGTGCAGCTCACACACAGTTGTTATATGGGGTTATCCAGTGTGGTGTGGGATAGCCTCCCACACATGCCATGTTGTTACATTTCACATATACTAACTGCCCATATCAGAGGTCTTCAAAAAGAAGACCATTTCTATTTTTTTCATGAAAAATGTGTATTATGAAAAAAATCATGCATAGATCTTAAAAATATTTTGCACCAAAATAAACTCATACTTTAATTCCATCTTTCTGTGAACTTTTTGAAGTGCTCTCATATAATTCATAAATAATCTACCTGTATTTCAAAAAACAAAGGTATGTTAATAATATTAGCATATCCAAAAAAAGTGACAGTTTAATTATTTTACCTTCAGAATAAGATAGAGAATTTTTTAAAACTTATATATTTATATATAAATATATAGAGAGAAACAGACAAAGGGAAAGTGAAAAATCACCCCCTGGAGGGATGGCCACACTGCAATCCCTTTTCCTCTATTCTCCTCTTGGGATTTTGAGCACACATGCACAAGCATCCAGAGTGTTTTCAAGCTGCTGACCAAGACTCAAACCAGTCAGTCATGTAGGAGTCCAGCAAATTAACCTCTATACCACCTGCTGGCTCCAAAAATATGTTTTATTAAAGAATACCAAACATTTATGCCACAAAAATACAAAATGATGATTCATGCTAAAGGATCCCACAAGAGCAGATAAAACAGGAACACACTCTGCAAACTCCTTGACTTTCATGAGAAACCAACTCATTTGAAGATTTTAATAAATACCTAAAGTCCACTATAACATATACTTTCCCGTATAACATGAAATGCCTCTGCAAAATGTTCATGACATCTCGAGAACTCTATTAACTTTGTAAATACGGGATTAAAATTATTTGTAAAATTATTCAAATAAACTAAAATAAACAAATAAACATTCCAGATGATACCAGTCTTCAGGTCGCATAACCAAGAAATAAAACTGCAGCAAAGACAGTGAGTGTGGGGAGTGTTGCACAGCGGATGCTCTGAAGGGATGGAGACGAGGGTGGCAGCTAGAAAGCAGAACAGGCAGGCTGCAGTAGTTCAGAATCTGGTGTCTAACAGGTTGTTAGCAGCAATCTTGGCAGAAGAAACAGGAGAGACTTGAGGGAAACAGCTATGGAGCAGAATGTGGAATAATAATAGAGAAGAAGGCTCAAGAGGCATGGGAACTTTAACGACACTGTGATTGGGCTGGTCCGGTAGTGCAGTGACTATGCACTGTGCCTTGGGAACTGGATCCACATAACCAACCACAGTCTAAATTCTAGCTCAGCTACTTGAAAAACACACCAGGCTTGTTTGGGTGTGTGCTCAGAACTCTAATGGGATGAAAAAGTGGAGGAAAATGAATTACAGTGTGACCACACTTCATCAGGGATGCTTGCTCGCTCTCGCTCGCTCGCCCGCTCTCTCTCTCTCACACACACACACACATGTGCATTCCTTCTTTCTCCCTTTCTCCTGGTAAGTACACAGGTACATACATCCTCTGACAATTAAAGTAAAAATAAATAAATAAACAAATAAAAACATTGTGATTGTCAGTTCTTATTTTTCCTTTGCAAATCTGTATGCCTTTCCGGATAGTCTTCACAAACACGAATGAGTAATCTCAAAGCTCTCACCCAAAATAGAAAAGGTGCTGATGAGTATTCCCTGTAAAGGACCAATCTCTGGGAAGCTGTTCGAATGCATCAACACCGGCTTCAGCACCACTCTTTCACTGACTTCTACATCTCGCCGATCTTCAATAAGCTCTCCCTCCCTACCTCAACCACATGCGCAAAACCTTCATCAGTCACTTACCAAGCAATACTCATAATACACTTCACTTTATTATCAGTGGAAGGAATTCTCTTGAAGTCATTCTCTGACTCCTTGCTTAGAACATTTTAGCAAATAATGACCATGTTAGATATCACCCTAATAATGTTTAATGTTGAATAATATAATCGGAAATGTATTTCTTATAACTTAGTTGGATATGAAATTTGTAATCGTCACACACAGCATTTATGATCTGAAAGAATACATTCTCTTTTTTAAAGGTTATTTATTTCTCCCATGAGCAAGTGAGAAAGAGAGAGAGACACAGAGAGAGAGAGAGAGAGAGAGAGAGTATCCCTCAGGGCCATAATCCCCCAATCCAAATAATGTTTAATGTTGAATAATATAATCGGAAATGTATTTCTTATAACTTAGTTGGATATGAAATTTGTAATCGTCACACACAGCATTTATGATCTGAAAGAATACATTCTCTTTTTTAAAGGTTATTTATTTCTCCCATGAGCAAGTGAGAAAGAGAGAGAGACACAGAGAGAGAGAGAGAGAGAGAGAGAGAGTATCCCTAACAGGGCCATAATCCCACAATCCACCCGCGACCTCAGCCAAGCCATGATCACAGGCACATGCATGCCTAGCATACACAGGAAGGCCGCCACATGCAAACTCATAACCTTCCCATGTGGGCCAGTCTCACAGAGCATCGAGTTTCACTGCGGAGCCACCTTTTTAGCCCCCTTGAAGGAATACATTCTACATCATGGTTGAGAATAAAACAAAAAGTAGTAACAGAGAAAAGATATAGTCTTAACCTTAAGCCACAGCGGGATCTTTAGTTGCCTGTCATAGTGATTGTGAAACTTAGTCATGTACCCTATTTGAATGAAAAGGTTTTTTTTTTTTTTTTTTTTAATTTCCTGGTAGACTAACTTAAAGTCTTTTATTAAAATGCTACTTACATATGCACAAACATAAATTACATAAAAATTCCTCATGATTATATACTTAATAGGACTACAAAATCTGTAACAAATTTATAAATCAAATCTGTAAGTATAAAACCAATACAATTTTAATAAACATAATATTTATGACATGAATGATGCTAAACTGCTGAAACTCAGTTGCCACATTTGGCTTAGTAGAAGAACAATGTATTTGTATGCTTTATATTACCTTTTCAACTTAATCTTTTAAGAATGAAGGGCCATCATTCGGGCCATCATTATTACTGGGTCGTCAGAGAAGTCATGACATATTTTTCTATGCAAAAATGTGTCATGACTTTTCTGACAACCCAATATTAAGGGCCATCTTTTTAATCACTAATTAATTATAGTAATGAGCCAATCAACTTAACAGAATATTCCCAAAATATCATACCATAACAATTTTACATAGCAGTTAAAAAAAATTCTTCACTGTACATTTACTAGTATATTTCACATCAATGCACTGTTCGTAAACTGTCAAATAGAAGACATAACTGTTCTTTGGACTGTTATGATAATACAGTACCCAACCTAAATAGCCAGAATAGGCAAACCCACAGAGATAAGTGATTGGCAGTGCAGGAAGGGTGGTGGTTGCTAACGTGTATGGAGTTTCTGGACGGGTGATGAAAATGTTCTAGAATTAAATAATAGTGATGACTACACAACTCTGTGGATATGCTAAAAATTACAGCTGTACACTCTAAAAGGGTGAATTACATGATATACAGGTATCTCCAATTAAAAAAAGAAGCAAAAATAATTATGTGGAGAGATCCCCTACCTTTTTAATGAATCAGTTTTGACAGTCACTCATTTTCCTGTGAATCTTCATGCCTCAATTACTTTCCACATGTCACCAAATTTCATCTCCCATTTGAGAAACAGATTTTTGTATTGATTGGAACACTTACTAAAAACAGTTTTAAGGAATCACTTTTTCCTGTTTTCTAGTCTAGAGATGGAAAACACATTTTCTTCACTAACCTGAGCCACCATGAAGTTCACTATTTTAATACCACAATTAATGGTGTAGTAGTTTAAGTGAGTCAGATCTTACATGACTGACCACATAGATCGAGTCCTGGCCCAGGCAGCTGGAGAAACATGCTGGGCACATGTGCATGCATGTCCCCAAATCCTGACAAGATTAGAAAGGGAAACGAAAGGATTGTGGTGTGCCACATCTCATTAGCAGATGCTTTCTTACTCCTCTCTCTTTCTTCCCTTCTCTGAAAAATAAACACACCCTCTGGCAAGTTAAAAAAAAAAAATTTTTTTTTAAAGGTAGACCAGCCAGTGGCATGGGGGTTGGGGTAGGTCGATACTTCATTGTCTACTGAGCAGTTCCAGTTCCTGACTGGCAACTTGAGAGGTGCTGAGTATGTCTGCATGCATACTGAAAGTCTCAAAAGGAGAATGCAGAAGGAGGAAATGCAATGTGCCCATCCCCATACCCAGTTGTGGAGGGGATGCTAAAAATTTTTAAAAAGTAATAAATAAAAGAATTCTGTAGGGAGCAGCCAGATCTCGACAAGCCACTAGCAACCTTTAAACAGATATGGTCTTTGTGCCGACGCTACAGGGCAAGCAAAAGCTCCCCAGCCGCAGTCTACAACGGAAAATACCTGGTTTCTTCCTCCTGATTGCTATATAAAAGAATAAACCTGAGAAAGGCTCATTGTTATGGAAATCTCCATCAAAGATGCCCTGACTACCTGATCCCTGCTTTTTTCTACTCATGTGTCTGTCTGTTCTTTCTGCATCCACCGTCACTCCCACTCGAGGTCCACATCCATGCTGTGAAGGCCAAAGCAGAATTCCATAAGAAATTCTTAACCATGTAATTACTGTGATCATTAAATAATAAACTACATGGGCCAGCTTTGGAGTCTGACTGTTAAGGGACCCCACAGTCGACTGTGGTTTGAAAGGATGGGGAAATGGAGAACAGATGGTGGCATGATCGTGCCCATGGTGGGGTGCTTTCTCCCTCTTCCTAGCTCTCTCTCTCCTTGACTCTCTCTGGCACATTCATGTGATCTCTAACAATAAAAAAGAAAGAAAAACAAAATCACAAACTAGTAGCAGTCAGATATGCTAGAAAGTAATGAAGTATACAACAAATGAAGATATTACAAAAGAACAGAGAAGTCAGTTCAGAGGGACTCTCACTGGTCAATTCTGAGGCAATTTGAGCAACAAAAGTTATAGCAAAAAATGATAACCCAATATAAATTAGCTCATTGGGAAAGTCATGGCATATCTTTCTATGGTTTTCTATACAGAAAAGCATAATGACTTTCCCAATAATATACAAGTCTGTAACTCCATCCTATTATACAAAAACACGAAAGTTACACATAGAGAAACGTGACGTTTAAAACTCTCCTCTTGAATAAGTGAATAAATAAATTAGGGATAAGAGAAAGCTCTCTTTTATAGAATGCTAACAGATACATGTAGAAGGACTCTAAACTAAATATCCCATCTTGTTCAAATGTTTTGTTTTTCACTGTTGATGTACGTAGCTCTGTTAATAGTTACCAAATAATAAAACCAACAATGTTAAATATAATTGGGGCTTCAAAAACATGCATAGTTTTCATTTTGGTCTTAGCTTTTATTTTTTTTAATTTCATTTTGTGATTTCTTATTTACATTCATTCATTGTACATCTCCATAGCTTTTAGTTTTGTTTTTTTTTTTTTTTTGGAGAGGTTTTTGCTATAGGGTGCATGCGCTCACCAGAAAGACAGAGACAGGTAGACAGAAAGCAAGAAATCACCCCCCAGGGAGGATGGCCGCGCCACAATCCCTTCTCCATTCTCTTCTCGGGATCTTGGGCACGCACACACATGCGCCCGGCGTGATTTTAAGCCGCCAGGTCCGGGACTTGAACTGTGGTTGACTACATGGGAGTCCAACGACATAGCCATTATGCTAACTGCTGGTCTCTCCACAGCTTTTTAAAAAGACTTATTTTACTTAAGGTAATCATAACAACCAATATATACTAAGGCTAGCATTAGAAGTTACCTGAATCATTCAGGTAAGTTGTTGAAAATTATCTATGTCTGTATATTGGTAAAACAGTTATTAAGCTGCTGTGATGTACCAGACACTCTGTTAACTGTGCAATATAGAGGGGACTAACAATGGGGACTTTTTTATTATAAAGGGCCACAGAGTAAATATTTTAGATTGTGTGGATCATAAACATGTTTCTAATATTTATTCTTGTGTGTGTGTGTGTGTGTGTGTGTGTGTGTGTGTACATGTGTATGTGTTTCAAAAAACCCTTTAAAAATGTAAAAACAAGTCTTAGATCAATGATATTACAAAAACAGGCTGAGGACCACATCTGGTCCACAAGTTATGGTATGCCAACCCTTGATATTAAATTAAAAAGTCAAAACAATTCAATCACTAAAAGGGTATTTTTCTATACATATATGTAGGTAAACTAAAGCAATCAATACACATTAAATACAAAGAGACCTTGAATACAATTAGAAATAAGGAAAAAATATGCTAGATGTACAAATTCAATGAGAATAATGAAATTAAAAGTTCCGATTACATACTCTGGGGTATAGACTGGTAACCAATAGACTAGTCGTCCACCAAAGACCAGGGTCTCAGCTGCGAAGTTTAACAGGTCAAAAAACATATCGCTCAGATGATAACTCAAGGAAACAGGAACGTGGCTTTCTGGACTACGGGAAGAAAACAAAATTTTAAGATCACTACAAAACGTTAAGACTGCTTAAGTTAACTAAAAAGAAGCAACATATTCCTTAACAAAGTAGTATCACATCAAATTTAAATCTCACTTACCATTTTTCCATCCCCTTTGGTATTTCCTTCTGAGAACCTGTTCTTCTTGTAGATTCTCTGATACCATATGGAGCTGGACAGGTAATACAGATAGTCAAAAGTCAAATGATCACTAGCGAAGGACAGATAGATAGCAAGCACCTCTGAATGGGACCCCCTGAGAAGGACACCTAGCACCTGTGCACCATTTTAGCTGGGAATACATAACAAAAGAGCGAGAGACTCCGTTCTTTGAAAATGTGAACGTTAAAAAAGACATAGAACGGTAGTACAAGTGTTACAAATTAAAAGAATCCCAAAAGATATTACACTAGAGTAGTAGAGGGAAAAAATAAGCTATACAATATACCAGTCAACTGATGAAAGTGGACCAAAAAAACACTGTAAATTAAATTATTGTATCAATTTACTGAAATTGATAACTAGTTTAGCTATCTAAAAGAGTATCCCTCTTCTTAGGAAATACACACTGAATTACAGGGATAAAAGGCCACAAGGTGTGCAACTTACTCTCCAGTTGACAGAAAAAAAAATATATGCATTTTTACATAAATATATACACAGAGTGGAAGAGCAAATAATAAAGCAAATAACTAAATAAAAAGTCACCCAATTTTTATTAAACATATCCACACTGATATTATAATTAATGCCTTGATAACTTCTCTTTTGTTAGATTTAAAACTATCTGGGCCAGCAGGTGGGGTGGTGGTTAAAGGCACTGGACTCCCATGTGGCCAACCCGGTTCGAGTATCGGACCTGGCAGCTTGCTTCCTCACTTTCTCTCTCAATCTCTCTTTCTCTCTCTCTCTCTCTCATGTGTGTGTGTGTGTGTCCCTCTCTAGTCAAATTAAAATAAATGAATAAAGTTAAATAATTCTTCAACACACATACACACACACATCTAAGTTACAAAAGAACAAAGGAGGACTGAGACAGAAGGGTTTAACAGAAGGATTTGCCTCTATGTATACATATATTTTCAAATACTACAGAAAAGGTAGATCTATTCTTAGATAGGTTACCTACAAAGCCCAAGACTTCAAGAGGCATGGCTAAATAAGTTCTCATACATATTCCTGAAGCTCCACAGGTTCACAAACTGTGTGGTTTATAGAACCTCAAATCCCTTATAACTTGAAAAATGAGATACTAGTGAAAACAGGCACTACGAGAACACAAAATCTTACACATGAAGAATCGTGTACTATTTGAAACTCTTCTTTATAAAATGATACCATAATTGCAAATGAATTTTTAACAAGGGGCCAGAAGGGTAGCATGGTGGTTGAGGCACTGGATTCTCATGTGACTGACCGTGGTTCAAGTCCTAGATGTGGTGGCTTACTTTCTCACTTTCCCTCTCTCTCACTATCTCTCTGTCTCTCTCTAGTGAGCACATATGCCCTATAATAAACTAAAAATAATAACAATAAATAAAATGAAATGAAATAAAATAAAATAATTTTTTTAAAAAAAAAACCTTAACAAAGCCTCAAAAAAATACATAAGCTTAAGGGAAAAATGGGTATCAAGTTAATGAAAATCTGAGAATAGTTGGCAAGCCAATATATTTGCTTTAAAAAAAAATCCCCTACTAACTTAGTTACACTGGTAAACTGCCCTACATTCACAATTTTCTCTTCACTATATAAATTTAGGGTGGGAGGAATATTAGCATGGGCTGGCATATTGTGTATGTGTTTTTAAATCTTGTACTTTAAATGTAAATGACTTCAAGAAATTAATCCTATGCCTACATTGGTACAAAAATAAACTTACGATCAGTGATGATTGCATCGAAATATGTGCCCTTCCTCCAGGAAGGCTTAGATGCATCTGAGACCAGGACATCAAGGTAGTACTTCTCTAAACCGTATTGGCGAAGATTTGCCTTGATGTTTTCATCGGGTCCTCTCCATTTCTGGTTTTTCCTACTGGCCTTTCCTGGAAAGAAAGGAAATGGAGATATAAAGTATGGATCAAACAGAGCATCCTTACCTCCTATTGTTTAGTTAAAAGTAAAGTTTTAAATCATCTAACTCACATACTTAAAAATTTGCTTTCATTTTGAGTCTTAATTTTATGTATACAAGTAAACAATTATTTTTGCTTCAACTCATCTTAAAAATAGATTTTGAACAGCAAAATGTACTGATGTCTAGCTGATTTTGTCACCTTTCAAGTAAAACTGCCTTAAAACACTAATTCCAGGAGCAGTAGATGGTGTGGTAGTTAAGGAACTGGATTCCCACATATCCAGCTATAGCTCAAGTCCACCGCCTGGTGCTTTGCTTTCTCACTTTCTCTCCCTCTCTCTCTCTGTCTTTCTCTGGTGAGTATGCATGCCCTATAGCAAATCAAAAAATATTAATAATAAATAAAATTAATAATTATTTTAAAATAATAACTTATTAATTCATTTATATATAAAGATGATCACACATGTTGGTTACAAAATGGCTTGACCTTTTCTCCTACTTTTTCTCTTCAAATCCTAAGTTCATAATTTTAGTTAGCTTGCTTTTTTTTTTTTAAATTTTTTTTTTTTTTACCTCTCTCACTAAGAACACAAATCTCTCTGGAGAAAGAGTTTTTCCTCTTTCATCTTTGTCTTCCTCTTGGCAATCTTTTGCTCACACTGGACCACTTCATAAAAAGTAGAAACCCAATGAACTCTTGATATTAAAAAACTAAAATGATGTCACAATTTTGTAATTTTATATTAAAATAATGTCACATAAAACTCTTTTATTATTTTTAAAGCATTATCTGGTATAACAACAAAGATTATGACACTGGCTATAACCTCTACTCACCCAAGCCATGAACTGTGTTGTAGTCTATGTCTGTCCCATAAACATATGCACCAAAATGAGCAGATGCTATCAGGAGGCCACAACCATTTTGTAATTTTATATTAAAATAATGTCACATAAAACTCTTTTATTATTTTTAAAGCATTATCTGGTATAACAACAAAGATTATGACACTGGCTATAACCTCTACTCACCCAAGCCATGAACTGTGTTGTAGTCTATGTCTGTCCCATAAACATATGCACCAAAATGAGCAGATGCTATCAGGAGGCCACCTAAAAAATCACACAATTACAACCTGTTAACCAGAAAGTCCCAGGTTCTTGATTCTTCCCCTATTTAATTTGACTCAGTCTTATAAACCAGATGAAGGTGGAGTAACCCGGAATGACATTGGTCCTGGCCATATGTACAGCAAGCCTCAGAAAAGAAACAACAGCCCTCTCAGCTACATTCAGTAAATTGGTCACAAAGCAGGGAAATGAAGTAGTAATGTATACCCTGGCATAATTACTTTACACAGCACTGCTTAGGGGAAATTCGCTTTTATGGTCAAAACACATTGGCATACTGAGACATTTTCATCTCATTTTCAAAGGTCTATACAAAAAAACCTTGCTGTTTTCTTAAAAATGAACATATAAGAATCCTTACACAAAGAGCTGGCAATAAATAAATTCTGACAATTGGACTTCAATCCTGCTAAAATCCAGAATTTGAAGCAATGAAATAGGGCATAACTAATACGTGAAACATTCTTACAAGTTAAAATAGTAAGACATGTTAACTTTTGTAAGAATCAATTATCTTGATAAGTAGTTATTCCTATAACTAATCATGTAATTATCTCATTTTAATCTATAAATATGTGCTTCTTAATATCTACCATCAAACACACAAAAAATAATTAATACAATTATTTTCAATTTAGCGTTGTACCAAAGAAAGAATAAATGTCCCAATACAATTTGACTAAACTAATTTGACAGATGTGACCAGCCTACACACAAAGAAAAATCCTAATAAAGATCTTTTTAAAAGAAATACTTTAAAATAAAAGCTAATCATATTTTTTAATTTAAGAAAAATTTCACAAAGGTAAAAAACTTTTTAGTAATTATATTTTTCATTGAAGTTCCCCATTTTAAAGTATCTAAATAAAAATGTTTTTGGTTCTTAAACAAGTCTTAATCAGCTGTTTGGTAGAAAGGGCTGTTCATAAAGGTAAAATAAATATTTTCTTAGACTACACTCTATGCACAGACTTGGTCAAGGGAAAAAGAACTAAGGCTCTTTACCTTATACCCTTTTGAAATGTAATCTCTGAAGTTAAGATGGGTAGTGCCTGCAGATAGTCAAGATCTATAAATTAATGATGTTCCTTCCACAGCCATTTAAAACATAGCACAAGGTTACATGGACTTAAAAAAATACCTTGCTCATGAAAATAACATTAACTGACTAGTTCCTATTGGAGCCCATGAAGCAGAGAAATGGAAGACTAAAAGTACAGCAGAAACCAAAACCTAGGTCCTCTTTCACACTAACTACCAAGAGCATTTCTGTGAGAGGTAAGGTTATAAAAAAAAAAAAAAAAAAAAAAAAAGGGGCTCATAATTCTTACTCTAGACATGGAACAGTCCAGACTGAGGCAAGGTGTTACATGTGATGACTTGGAATACTCACAAAGTCACTTCACCAAAATTACGAGGAATTACTACAATTCTGCCAATTAAAGCAGATACTCACCTAGAAGAACTAGTTGTCAAGGGGAACAGAAAAGCTTTCCTGTGCTTCCTTAAACAGAACCTTATCCATTTGGTTAGAGTGACTTTTGAGAAGACCCAATTTACAGTACACTGCTGAAAGGAGATGAATAATCTGTTAGACTGCATCTGATATTTCACTTTGCCTTGTAAGCTTTCATTTAAAAAATAAATAAATAATAAATTAGCCCCTCTGAACTGGTCACTGGGTAATCATTGTGAATCATCCAGTTGTTCTTTTGATGAAATTAAATCATGTTTGCATTCGGTTATACCTCAGTTGGAGTTTTCTTAGAAGCTTTTCATGGGAGCAAGAGTGCTGAAAAGAAGGGTGAGGTATTGAGGCAGGTTGTGTGACTCACTCATTCTTTTTTATGCTATCAGAAGTGAAAATGCCACTATGTGATCTAGACCAGCAACTCAGTGTTTCTCATTTACTTAACTAGGAACCCCTTTAAGGTTAGGGTAACACCGTACAGGCAAAAGAATACAATAACAAGTAGAATTTCCTCTACGATGTAGAAACTAATTCATGATTTTCTTCTTTAGAGAGCTGGTAGAAGATTTTACAAATGTGGAGAAATGAGAGACTGGGCTTTGGTTTTGCTGAGAGAAAAGGAGAAAAGGAAGAAAAATGGTGAGGTAATGACATCTGGCTTATCCTTTTTAGAAAAGAACTCTATTTCAATAAACTAGCAGCCTGAATACTGCTGATAATCGAGATCCTACTAGACAAACTGTGGGACTGAGGAAAAAGGCCTACAGAGAGTTGCGGGAAGCACAGACCATTACATAGACCTATCTGGATCTACCACCTCGCTCTCGTAACCTTCTCTTTTCTCCCCATGACCCCCTTCCACAACTAGGTCAGTTTCCCAATACCTGGCTCTTGTGCCTGTTATCTTACAATGACAAAATTTCAGAAAGCAGCTATGCTCCTTTCCTCCCATCTACATGCCATCTGAAGGTAGCTGAGCCCAAGGAACATCCATTAGTCTCCTGGATGGGTTCTCGTACTATAGAAACTTGCTGACTTGGGAGAATAAGACTGATTTAGAGCTAAGGCTGCGGAGCTCTGTGCTGCTTACAGTCACTGGCATGCACTTGTACCAGTTATTTTCATTATAAAAAAGAATTAGAGATCTATTATTTTAAGCCTCAACTTGTCTGCTGCCATACTTTGCCAAGAGTTACAAATTATGAATATCGTGGAAATTAGCCAAAGAGAGGGCTAGAATAATGAGTTCAGGGTCAAATTCTTCATCACCATTTAATATTAGCTATATCTACCTACTTTCACCAAAAAGACATCTAAATTCTTAACAAAACAGTAACTAAAAAATAATGACAACAATTACAGTTCACTGTCTACTACATGTCAGACAACTTCCTAAGAATATTATATACATACATTACCTCACTTAATTCTCACAATGTATTACTATTACCAATTCAGAGATGATGAAACAGAGACCCAGACAAGGTAAGAAGCCTGTAAAGATTTAAACACCACTCTGCTCTTTTCATTATACCTTATTACCCCCTTTGGGGTCACCACCAGTTCAAGTAAATATCCATTACCTTATCTACTGGAAATAAAAGTAAAAATTTTGACTAAGCAAATTAAACTAAATTAAGTAAGTAAAGCTGTATGCTCAGTTAATAACAGCTGCAGGGACCAGCAGATGGCCTAACAGTTATGTCACTGGACTCCCACGTAGTCAACCATGGTTCAAGTCCCAGATCTGGTGGCTTAAAACTCAACCAGGTACATGTGAATGCATGCCCAAAATCCCAAGAGGAGAACAGAGAAGAAGGGACTGCAGTGTGGCCATCCCTCTTGGGGGGGGGGGGTCTCTCTGTCTTCCTCCGTTTCTCCAGTGCA